TTAAACTTTCAGGGAGGAAGGATGTTTTTGCCCAAGTTTCTTGTGGTGAGCTCCTGTGTTTCATACGCGTATTAGTAAGAAAACCTAACGACACTGTGTGGATATGGCACATTTTACAAAATGATGTTACTTTACCTTTGATAATTGTTCTTAGCAGTCTCATAAACTAGCTCAGGGTTATTTCTTGATATTTGCTTTCCTAAGATCCAAATTAATTGAAAATGAAAAGATGAAAGGTTTTAGAACCTAAGCTATTTACCCTTGAAGGTTTTTTGGATTTGTTTTTTTGGATTTTATTTTTTGTTTTTTTCCCAATAAACCAAACTAAATTATCTCAACTTCATTTACTTGCAATAAGGCACTGTGATGATCAACAAAAATGACTCAAGCTTAAGCTGTTAGCATTTCTACATAGACACTAAAGAGTAATTTTCTCTGATACTGTGGAACTCATCAGGAGTCCACTGCTTCATACTTGTTCTATGACACAATTGTCTTCTACTTTGATCTGAATTTTCAAAATTCACAGCAAATCTTGTTTGAAAATTTTTACAATCAAAGAAGTAGGAGTTGAAAATTTGAATGTCGTTTCAAAATTTTTAATTACTTGGGACTTAAACTGAAAAGTAGTAAAAAATATGATCTCATATGACCAAGAACGGACCACAATCTATAATAAGTGGTAAAAAGCTTTTGATTTCTCATATTAGAATATTTATTGATACTTGCTGGTAGAAAGAGTTATGTCTGTTTCACTCAAATACAGTTTGAAAGACATTTATAGTCCTATTTCAGGCCACATAATCAGTATTTCCAATGAGGCAAGGAAGCTGTTTTGTCATCTAACTGATTGAGCAGAGCAAGGCAAAGGGAAAAAATGTCACCGTCACTACCGGTGAATTTCCACAGTGGAATGACTCAGACTAACGTATAATGTTGCGATACATCTTGTACTTTCCATTAGTCATAGTATAGTTTTCCCTCTTACATGATTACAGTGTTCGAATTGATATTTAATTAATATTTTACAGAATATGGTAAAAAATATTCCCTCAGTGAGCAGCAGATTATTGCCTATGTTCCCTAAATTATTTCTTTAATATAATGTGTAAAGTAAGAAATCTTTAATAAGGATTTTGTACTTTACCTAATATTTATGTACCTATACATAGTACACTCAATGCCTTGCATCTATTATTTCTCATGTTCAGGCTTCTTTATTGTTCTTGAGAGATACAAAGCCCATTGAGATTTAGTCATCTGTTACCAAACATAAAGCACATAAGTCTTGTAGTTCAAACTCTGCGCCCCAAGTGACTGAAATAACACAAGTATTAACAATAGTGGTAATGTTGAGTATAATGATTAAAATGCTTGTGTCTCAAAGGTCCTGTTAGGGAACAGAAATTAGGGAACAGAAAAACTGACACACACACACAAAACTCCACCGGTAGAACACAAAGAAATAGGTAACGTATAAAGTTTTGAAACAAATGATCTTTTGTGTAAATTAGACATTGTGGAATTTCGGAAAAGAGTGTAGAAGCTGGTTAGCTAAAATAAGTGCAGGGGAGAGTGCTTTTAACTGAACCACTAAGAAATTTAGTAGAAACAGCAGAGATAGTGGCATAATTAGACATTTGGCTACTATAGTTTAATTTAAAGTTAAATGAATTGATTCACGTGAACTAAAATCTTGAAATTCAGAGTCAGAAAATTTTAAACCTGACTTAGTCGATGAGCAGTTTGGTTAGTTCTAGAGAAGGGAAGTTACATGCTACATAACTTAAAATAAAATAGGTTCTTGAGAAAAGTGAAGACAGGAATTAAGAAGCACTTTTCTGAAAGTAAATGTTCAGTACAGTGATGAAAGGTGACAGAATTAATGAGAGACCTGAAATGATAGAAGTTCTTGGTTTTAGCTACTTTTTTATGCTTTAGAAACTAAACACAGGCCTTCCTACTGAGCCTTATTCATACTTTTGTGTGTCATAAAATTTTAAATTAATTTTATTAGCACATGTTTGCAGTACAGAATGTTTATATTTCTTTTGGGGAGCTGATACAGAGCCATACTAATTCACTAACTGTCACATGCTGGCCTTGAATTTAACATCCTTTTGATTCAGTTTCCCAGAGTGCTGGGATTACAGGTGTCTCCCACCACTCAGTTACAACAAATAAAACATTAAATTTAGGCACCAGTGAACTGTCTAGGAAGCAGTTTGCAGAGCTGGCTAGAAATGCGTGGAGGAAGACTTTAAGGCTGGATGTCCAGGATTTTGTAGTCAACCACTTGCAGAGGAACAGTTGAGGTGGAGCCTGAGGGGTCCATGTGCCCGAGGAGAGCAGAGCTCAGGGTGGGAGCCTCTTAAAGTGAGAGAGAAGATGCTGCTCCGTCACCACGTCTTTAGAGGTTAAAAACATGGTCACAGATTGATTTAAGGAATAAAAGAGGGATGAAAAACCAGGATTTCAGAGGCAGACGTTCAGAGTTGAG